AGTATGAGGAGACTTGCTTGTATTAGATTTATGTTCACACATGCAAAGGAAATTATAGAGATACCATCAATACCCGATATTTTTAGTTTAGTTTTGACCCTCACTTCTTGTCATTCTTCACTGGGTCCTCTTACGCTATTAAAAATACTTTAACTAAATTTCATAATTCAAAATTTTATAACTTTTAAATAATTAGTATAGGGAACAGGGTGTGTCAGAAAAACAGCAGTGGATCAGTGTTAATACAATTATAGTCCAAAATCCACTTTAAGAAACTTCCTTCCTTCCTGCATAAACATCGCTCCGTGAACTTTTCTTTTTGGAAATCCCATGTATAAAATCAGTAAACCCAAAGCGGCCAGCCGGGAACCCCCACCTAGTGTTCAATGAGAAACAGCGTTGGGTGAGGGGTGGAAAGGTGGAAGATTTAACTTCAGAATTGAAGTGCCGGGAAACTGTGGGCTGATCCGCTCAAGAAAGCCTTTGCCTCGCATTAGGTACTCCAGGAGGAGTAAGGGAGCTCTCCGAAATGCTAAGTGGGCGGCAGAGGCAGGTGAGGGGCTCCGCTGAGCGAGAGACCCTTCCCCCGCATGCCCCTTGGTTATCCCTGAGCCTAACCCGCTAGCTTCTGAAGCATGGACGAAGCTCAGAAGGTGCAAACGACAGTAGAGGTGAACCTTCCTCCGGATCACAGCCCAAAGAGTGGGCATCCGGGTTTTCCCGATTCCCTGTCCTCCAGCGGTTTACTGTCGTCGTTTCTTAAGAGATGGAACCGGCTTAGAATTTCTTCCCTTTTTCTACTGGTTTCTATGGTGCCACGGTTCCAGGGCCGAAGTTTCGCACAGAAGGTCTCCATAACCTGCCCTCCACGGCCGGGAGCCCGCGCCGTGCTCTGGCCCAGCCCCGCTCTACTCTAGCCCTGGTCTTCTTTAGCCAGGGTCTGACCAGCACTCGAAGAAGGCGCTTGACAGCCATGCCCCCCCCCCCCCGCGAACACTCATCCTCACCTACGGATGACAAATTCAGACTTTACCTCCTCCCTTACACAAAGTCGCTTACCAAATGGGTGCCCTCTGCGGAAGGCCATTTTGACCTAACAGGCCAAAACCTTGGATATGTCCATCAGGCACTTTCTTGACTCATTGGCGGGTTGGGGCCCTGCAGCCTGGAGGTCTGCTTGCATGCAAAGGCACACGCAGCGCAGAGAACTAGGGTTCCTAGCCCTGGCCCCTACCCTAGACAAAGGCTAAGCCTATAGCCTAGTGTGCCACACACCTTGTCCCTGCAGTTTGAGCCCCGGTGTGTCCTGATTGATGCCTGCACTACACGTTTTCCCCATTGGCTTCTTCTAATCAACACTTTTTATTATCCTTACTTAGTCGATTAAGAGTCGCTTCCACCGTGTCACCCAGTTTCCCCGTCGGGAGTTGGGCAGGTAAAGAAGTAACGTCAGGATTAAAATCTCAGAATTTTACTCTGAACCAACATATAAACTAGCAGATTAATTCACGTGACCAGTTGATCTTGGGAACTCAGAAGAAGAAAGTGCCTCGAGGCAGCGTAAACTTCAGCTTGTTTTGTTTTGTTTTTCTGTCTCTTTTCTGTAGCGTAGGGGCGGGTGGGTACAGGAGAAAATGCAGGAGCCTGCGCGTGTGCACCTGGGCACAAAGTGCCAATCCCCCTGCGTGTCACTGAGGGTGCCTGTCTATGCGTGTTCACCCCCTGTGTGCTGCCACCTCTTCAGGCCTACATAGCGCCACGGCTGCAAGGTTTTGGCCTGCAAGCTCAGAAGGGGAAAATACTTCCGCAGAAGGTTTGAATTATTTCGCTCCGCAGGAGACCCGGACTCGGCCGCACGGCTGAGGATTCAGGCGAGAAAGGCCCAAGCCAGAGTTGGGGAGGCTGGGTGGAGCTGGGGATGGGGTCCCCGGCGCAGATGGCGCCTCCGCGCGCCCGAAATACACTTCTAAGGCCGCAGTCACAGCAGCTGTTCGGTCCGATCCTGGCTCGAAAGTTTCCTGTTGCTTAGCGAGAGGCGGGGGCGAGTAGGCTCGAGAGCCAGATTCCTCCGAAATGGTACTTGAGACCCTCTCCAGCCAGTAGTGGCTGAGTCCTAGAGGTTTCTCCAAAAGACAGCGAGGGTGGGTGTGGGTATGACAGTAAGAGTACCTCATAAGCCCCCTCCCAAGCCTGGCGGGCCTCGGTATTTTGGGGGGCCACCAGACTCGGTGGAAATTTTTGAAATACATACTGTGTCCTCTGAACGGTGAGTGCCTACAGCAAGCCGGGCTGGTCCCCCGCTGCTACAGGTTGGCGCCCCAGGCTGCGGGTGCTCAGGCGCCAACTAAAGCCAGCTCTGTCCAGACGCGGAAAGAAAAAGGGGCTGTGAAAAAGCAGAAGGCCACGTCTTTGAATTAAAGTTAAGCATTACAATCTGAGCCTCGGGTTGTCTGAGGATCCTGGGGATTTTCAGGCTCCGGAAGGGAGGACTGAAAACGGTGGTACCAGGCAAAAGAGTATGGAGATGAGAATCATAAACGCAGTTACACTAGGCGGTTGTCGTGTGCTCAGGGGGCAGGGGTCCTTCCCTATCCCCCCTGTCTGTTTTTTTTTTTTTTTTTTTTTTCCCCCTGCTCCTAGCTTGCTATGGGCCTAAGGCCTGTGAGCCTCACAGCAACCTCCCTGCCCTGGAGGAACAGATTGAACAGAATTGTGAGGCCCAGAACAGCATGGACAGAATGGGTCTTATACACCACTCCTTCATATAAACATCTTTAAATGTGGCCCTGTGTGTCTGTTAGGGCGCTATATTAGAGGAGAAAGCAAAGGTCTGAAAAAGATCCCAATCCCTGGTCTGAATCCAGAGCCTGGCAGCTCTGCCTCCCCTGCTCCTGAACAGCCTCATCTCAAGGACACCATGGCGCCCTTAGTCCGAAAGATCTTTTCTCATCCTACTTTTATTTCATACAGATCACTGTAAGAAAGCCTTAGCCATTGCCAGGGCTCCAACTTGGGGATCTCCTCCGCCTTCAACCAACTTAACCAAGCTATCGCCAGACTCTGCAGAAAACCAGCAAAAGTGTTCCTGATTTCAGTTTCTTCCTTCTCCTGGACCCTTGCCCCTAAATATATTTTGTTTTCTGTAATCAAAATGTTCATCTTTTTTTAAAAAAAAGATAATAAAGTAAGGGAACTGACCGGCTGAACTCTGTTACATAAAGTTAGTTCTATATTAGGTCTTCCACCCCACCCAACCCCAACCCCATGGGGCAGGAGCTATAGAACAGAATTTTGAAAACCAATTCCCAATGTTCTTGCCCCTCTCTCTTTGCCCAGATCCCCTCAGTTTCCTCTCCTCCTTTCCAGCTGAGAAGAGCTGGAAAAAGAAACTATGAACTCAGACCCTTATTATGACCCCACATATTGGCCCTTTTAAACATAAGACCCTAGACAGACTCAGTGACCTGCAGACTTCCAAGAGTGAAGTCTCCCGGAACAGGGCAGCTGCCTTACACAGTTAAATAACGTCTGCTTTTTCCACTTATTGGGAAAATCCAAGAGAACCTCCTCAATTGCAAATTGTATAAGGCCTGCAAAAACTTCCACTAACGATATGAAGGCCCTAGTGAGATGTTGACAACAGATAAATTAGGTGAGGAAATTGTGTCTGGCCATCGAAGGGAAACACATTAGCCACGCTGTTCCTTCCTGAATCATTCACGCAGCATGGACCTGTACCCGCATCCAAATACAGAGAAAGACTTGGATGGATGGAATAAATCTCCTTTTAATTTTCTTTTCATCGACTAATAAAAATAATTCCCCAGCACTAAACCCAAATTCCGTAACGGGCCGCAAGAACACGCAGAATTCATAAAACCCAGTCTCTGCAGGTCACTTGCTAATCGCGTTATTATTAGCCTCAGGAGCGTGGAAATTGAACTGTCACTGCATAAGGAGAAAATGTAAGCGACAGCTGTCCCTCCTAGAGTTTGGCCAGAGTTTCGGCTGGGATCCCCAAGCTCCAGAGTCCATAGCCTCTCCTACCACTGTGCGGGCCGCCGCCCCGCTACCCTGCTCTTGCCAGCACATGGACCTGAGTCTATTTCCCCAGCCCCGGCTGGTCAGCAAGAGCACCTCCAGCATGGTCATAGAAGTCTGGGCTGGAAATTTTCTGAAACCGCTAAACCGAGCCGCGAGCGTTCTGCTTGCGTGCGCACGAAGTTCTTCTGACAACAGCTGTTCCCCCAGGCTGTTTTGCACAGTTGAAATCTTGGCACTTAACACAAAACATTAAGTTGTTTTTCCCTTTTCTAGGGTTCTGCAAAAATCAGACATCGACATCCGCCCTGCATTTTACGTGTTCTGTGTGCATTATAGGCATAGGATACGCATAAATCGAGACACCAATTAATCGAATTCCCCCCCACCAATTACACAGATATGGGCCGTGAAATTTGATCCAAGCTCAGGACAAGAGGGTCTAACATCCATTCCAGTTTCCAAACGTGGTAGAAATATAATTACATTCCACTATCTAAAAGTGGGAAGAAGAGTGAGGACTGAGACTGAAAGCTAAACTGGGCATTTCCAGAGAAAGACTGAAGTATTGGTGCCGGGAAGGACGCGCCAGTCCTCCAGAGCGTTCCAAAGCCAGCCCCGGCTCCTCCGTCTCTCGCTATCGCCTTAGATCCCGCACTTCCTAACCCAGGGGCCTGCGGTCCCATCCGTTTAGGGCAACCCAAACTCTGAGCTCCTCTCTAGAAGGGGATGCGGGTCAGTAGGTTTCCTTGCTTGACGTTGGCGAAATGTAAGGCTCGGGCCAGTCTCCCAAATTGGTTCGGGCGAATTTAGGGAAGCTCAAAGCATTTGCTCCAAGGAAAAGGAACCCGTGTTGGAGCCAGGCAGGGCGTCAGCGGCGAGGCCTCAGTCCACACCCGCGGACGCTGTTCGGCGTCCCCTCTCTGCCCGCCTCGCGCACTCTGGCCCGACGCACTCACCCGGGTGGGGCTCCAGGCCGTGTGCCGCCGAGTCCTCAGAGTCTCCGAGTGGGCCTGTGGGGCTCAGCGCCTCCATGGACAGGTCCAGCCCCTTCTCCTCCCAGTCTCGCAGTTTCCGCTTTTTATTTGAGCCGATCAAGGCTTCAACGGAGAAGGCATGTGCTCGCGAGCTCAGGGCTACTGCAGATCTTCTCCTTTCACTCATTTTAGCCGCCCGCACCCCGGCCTCTGCTCGCCCCCGCTACTGAGGGAGCAGCCCGCGCCCTCACGCTCCGAGCGCCCGCCGGGCCCGGCCCGAGAGAGGCGGCGGCAAGGCTGGCCGAGGCTGAAGCTGGGCTCCGTACCCTCCCCCTGCGTCCTCCCCCGCCCTTCGCCGCCGGATCGGATCCGCGCCCCCAGCTGCCCCAGCCTCTAGGAACTAGCGCCCGGAGCGCCGCCCGCTAGCTGCATGAGCGCGGGAGTCCTGCTTCCCACCCACCCGGGCAGGCGCTCACAGGCTGTGCCGACTGGACTTCATTTTTTTTTTTTTTTTAATTCTCTCCCTCTCTTTCTCCTCCCTCTCCCTTTCTCTCCTCCCTCTCCCTCTTCCCCTCTCGGTCTTCCCGTCCTTCCTCTGATCCAAACTTCTGGGAAAGTTTTTTTTTTTTTTCCTCTCCTAAATTCCTCCCTTCCCAAGGAACTGGGGGCAGGCAGTGCGCTCCAGTCCGAGGGGTGAGGGAGAGGGAGGGGGAAGGAAGAAAAAGACTGAGGGGGGAAAAAGCCAGCCCCCAACCAATAGCAAGAAAGGAACAGGAGAAAGCCTGAGAGCTTGAGCCAATGAGGGAAGGGGAGAGACTGAGGCTCGGGCCAAGGCTGCGTGCGGGTCGACGGCTGGACGCTTCTGGGCCGACTTTAACCCCTGGTTTCCCGGTCCGGTCCAAGTAGGTTACTTGATGGGGGAAGGGAACTGGAAGTTGAGGTCTGATCTGCGCCGTTATAAACTCCTGCAAATACCAAATCCGTACATTTTCCTCTCAAATCTGCTGGATCTCACAGATACTCCAAGCCCAGAATCATTTTAGTTGCAGATCTAAATTTGTGTAGCTCTGACAAAATGTTAACCTGTCCAAAACCGCTAGAAAATTCTTGTTATAATCTCACGCTCGCCCCAGGTGCTTTCGGACCTGCCGATTCTGCCCAGTTTTCGTCACACAGGTTCCTGTGCTCCTATTTAACGTTTCCTGAGCGACTCTGGTTAAGGCAAAACGAAACAAACAAAAAAGTGCCGTTACTATCCAGGGTCTTGTAACTGAAAATTCAAACACGGTTTCTTCTTTCCAGCTCTACCTGGTGGAGGAGGATCCACAAGCACCCTGAGAGCTGGAGACCCGCAGTGGAGCGTTTGGCTTACCGCGCTCTGAAAGCATCTCTCCGCTGGGCCCACATGCAGAAAATACTCGCTTTCCCTGCAGCGCAGACGCTGGGCTGCGCTTCGCCTATTCCGGACTCTTAGTCCAGAGAACCCACGGAGGGGTGCCGGGCAAGGACAGCTAGGAACTTTAATAATTAAGGAGGCACTTTTTCAAAATTTTCTGCATATTGGGTCACCTCCAGAGCCTGGCTCTCCGCCCCGCTTATCATTTTCCTTCTCCTTTATTTTTTAACCTCTTAGGACTATACTTTCATCAGGAATATCTAAAGAATTTAAAATCCAACACTCCTGGACCTTACCACAAACACTCCTGTTTCCCACATTCCCACCCACATTCTACAACTGGTCGCGGGTGGCAGTAGACCCCGAGCGCAGTTTTGTGCGCGGCAAGCTCAGGGCCGAGAAATTGGTCCTGCCAAGCTGAAAAAACGTCTCCGATTTCGCTGGCGGCGGCCTGGACACAGCCTCGCCTTCCAGTCAGGACGCACGGTTCTATCCCGGCTCAAAGAAGCCAAAAAGAGCCTAGTCCTTGGGGCAGGCGACGGATTAAGAGGCCAAGCAAGTAAGTACCGCCAACAGCCAGGCCTTGAGCAGGTTCGGAAAACCTACAAGTTTAGGCCACGTGGAGGATCCACGGTGTGTTAGAGGACCTGGAGAACCAGCTCCCACATTTCCTCCGACCTTGGGGCGAGAAAAGAAGACCCAAGGGGCCTCTGAAACGCCATATTCACCACCTTACTGTCAAGGGCCCGGGGAAATATAGTACTTGCTATTATTATAATAAGTGCTCTGGTGCTGGCAGCTGGAGTGTGGTGACTATGACTTGGGCCTCTTTGGAGGAAAGCAAAAAGCAACTTGGGGATCTCCCTCAAATTGGGCTCCAACCTTAATGAGAGAAAGCTGGAAGAACAGCAAATGCAAGATGATGATAATGATGATGATGATGATGATGATGATGATGAAGGAAAAGCACTGAATGAGTGAGATCCAGCAAGGCCTGGCCTCCCCCAAGAACCTGAGTTTTAAACTTGGAGATCCCCCAGGAGAAAGAACCCAGGAAGTCTGGAAACCATGCACTGAGCCCTTAATGACTTCTGCCACTCTACTTGCAGACTCTGGCAACCTGGGAGGTGGGGGCGGGGTGTAGGGTCTCCAACCTCCATCACCACTGGAATTGTTTGCACTAGCTGTCCCCAAAAGTGACTGCTTTCACTATTACCTGGCTTTAGCAAAAATACTGGAGACAAGAAAGGCCAGAAATGTGCAGTTCCTTTCCCCAGAGGCTCAAGCCTCACTCTGGACTCCTGATCCACTGTTGGCCTGGCAAATGCCCAGATTAGAGCCTGCCTGGACCAGGCCAGGTGAGAAATGGCTAGAGCAGCCCTCTAAACTTTCCTGGGTCTTTCTTCAACCCACACCCTCCCCACTTTTCTGGCAGCTTCTCTCCTTCTTACTTTCTCACAGGCCTGAATTGTATTGAGAAAAAGACCACAAGTCACACATTCTTTCCTGAGCCCACAACAATGAGAGAGAGAGAGAGAGAGAGAGAGAGAAAGAGAGAGAGAAACACAAATTTTGGTTACCCACCAACAAAAAGGCAAGTCTGGAGGCCTGAACCTACATATAAGGGTTCCTGGACATAATGTTCCAGAAACATACAAAGAAGAACAGTGCCTTCATTGGTCTGCCTGAGTACCCTAACCCAGAGCATAAGCACTTCAGAGTTCTGGAAGAATTCCTACACTCCTCTATTCAGGTTGAACTTGGGTTGCTCCCACTCCAACATATCCTGCAATTTCAGGTTAGGCCACAAAAACTGACCCAAGTGAAGACAAACTGGCTTAAAAGAATCATGAATATAGGGATTTCCTGTACGTAAATGGGAAGGTGAAGTTCTGCCACTGTATAGGGGTTATGTAAGATTTTTTCCCCCCTGGGAATACACACTCCTTAGTGTATAACTCTGTGATGATGGAGAGTAAGGTCTGGAGGAGATTAAGAGGGATGGTTCAATATGTATGGCTCAGGTGTATGATAGTATACAGTTGGGGATAGGAAGAAGGTTGCAGGGATTAAATGTAAGAAGATAAAAGTGTAGTCTGTTATTATTCTATTGATTACTCACAGAGTTTTCAAAATATCCTCTCCTTACCCTAGTATCTTTCTCTTTTAACCCTTAGGGATGAGTGGAATCCCCAGATGAAGCTAATAGTCTAGGCACTCCCCAAGTTTCCCAGCTACAAGCACCAACCTTATGCCCTCTGTGGATCCTATAGGTGTTGAGCTCACTTCAAGTCTTTTTTAGACCTGAAACTGATTGACAAGGGCTCACCCCATCCCCTGTAGGATGCTAAAGAACAAGAGTAGGTGTTGAGCACCTGGAAAGTCTGAGATCACTGGGTATCACTGACCACCTGCATAGACAGAAGGAATGGAAGCCCAGGCCTAATGCTAGCAGCAGAAAACACAGGAAAGAAAGGGCAGCACAGTGATTGCTCAACCTAAAACTGGCCATGACTATATATTCTGAATTTTTTTTTTAAGGAAAAACAGTTCTGTATCATCAGGGCAAGAGTCATAGAGACAACTCAAAATAGGAAACCCCACATCCTGCATATATCTGTCTTTTCCGCCCATCATCCCACACCAAAATACCACCTTAAATTCCACCACTGATAATGCCTCAATATTAAGGTGAGCCACCAGCAGGCTTTGCTATTGGAGTTCTGATTGAGTAATTGAAAACAAAGTTAAAAATAGTTGACCAGCAGGATGTGTTAGGCTGCTCCTAAACACATGGGCAGGACACCCTGTGGGGGCAAGGGAATTGTAATGAATTCGGCCATCATGGGAGGTATAAAACATTATGAGGCGACTATGGGGTGGGAAGAAACAATCGGGTCTCCAAATTGAAGCGGAGCCTAGGACCAGGCTTGGTTTGGCCCCAAACTGTGTGACCTTAGGCAAGTCCATTAACAGGCCAGTGCCTCCGTTTCCAGGACCTGGGACTGAAGAGGTCCTAAATTGGTGGGGGACTGGTCACATTTGAGGCTTTATTATCGCTGTGATCGAAATCTTCTTGGAATGTGAGGGCAACATCCCCCATTTTTTTCACTTCTTTTCCCAAACTGGAGCCCCCCAACAACAAAAGAGCAAAAAACAGGTAGGCATAAGTGGTCTGGGACCCTCAGGCATAGTGGGAGGGAGTAGTAGGTTTCTGGAATCGCCTGCCCAAGGCCAGTTCCGCCGAGACGACGTGGGCCCACTCTGGTAGACCGCATCTCCAAGTCGCCGATTGGTTCAGGTCGCCCGAGAGCTGCGGGACCGTCGTGCGTCGTTGACTATTCAACCACCCCCCTCACACTTTTAAAAAATAAAAGTCCGTGGGGGCAAAAGGTCTTTAATGATGTTTTTTTGTTTTCACGAAATAAAATCTTCTGTTTTTATTTTAAACCAGCAGCGTGCCCACCTCTCGGTCCTTCCAGATGTTTGCAATAAAATCGCAGGTTTTGCCTTTGGGACTGGAAATAAAATTTAACGGCCTTCACCCTGTAATTATTCTCTTAGCTCGCCCTTCATAAATTTATCTGCTTTCTATCGGCGTTGGGGCAAGAGGCGAGCGAAAGGGGGGAAAGCCCCGATTTTATATTTGTGACTATAAAAAAGCGCCACCCGGTTTCCTCGCCTTCGGCCGCCGCGGTGTGGCCAGGAGAGCCGGGCCCGGCGGGCGGCAACATTGCACTATTGTTCGCTGACTTGGGTCTGCGCAGGAGCAGGGCCCCTCCACAAAGGGAGCCTTGTGTGGCCTGGCCCGGAGCGGCAGCGCCCCAGAGGCGAGGAAATCCTGTTCCCCCAGGCCCAGCTCCTCTTTCCCTCCGCGTATGGCGCAAGC